ATATATATATTATATTTATTTTAACTGATAAATTTAATTTGGTATTAAAGGATAAAAATGTTTATTACAAAGATAATTTCTTTGCCTTTTGCAAGATGCTATGTCTTGGAAGGGCAATGCAAAAGGGGTCGCTACAACAACGTAACTAAAAGACCCTTATGCAAGAAAAAAAAATTATAAATGTAAAATATATATTTTATCAATCAATCACAATCTCTTTAATAATAAATATATCTAGTGTATCACTTATACGGTTAAATTAAGTCCACACAAGCTATAATTGGTGTGTGATTTATGATTGCTCAAATATTTACGTATATTCCTTTTTCTGATTTTGCTCATTATATAGCCCCCACCATAAAATCATTATAACTTTCTCTTATACATCATCATGCAAAACTTTAATGAAGAATATTGAAAAAAGAAAAGTGACAAAAGACAAATATCACTAGAATCCAATAAAAGCTAGCGTTGTTCATCATATATTATAACCAAATTTAGCATATCACAAAATTATTATTAAATCTAAAAGTACTTTTCTCTCATAAAACTCAAAATTCTAATTTCATCTTTTGTAATGCAGGTAAAAATTATCTTAATTAGACGGTAATCTCCACGGCAGATTCAGGAGAAGGTGTGCCACAATAACCACGAAGAACATCAACTTCTTCAGCAGTAAAACCAACGGAACTTAGCATAGACGGCCAACAATTATAAGTAATAGTCCTTATCGCTTTGCAACAATCTTTTCCTAAGTAAGATTCACCATTGAAGAAGAAGAGTACGATCTCATTCGTGCATGATTTCAACTCAAATAACGCGTTCCAACACACTGGCATGCTAGCTCCTCCTCCATCTCCGCCTTCTAGTAATTGAAGTCTAGCAGCAATGCCTTGTCCTGGTTTAATTTTGGACATGTTGGTTGCTATAGTAGTAGTTGTTAGAAGCCATGAGACTAGTAGTATTATTGAAAGTTTTAAAGGTGTCATATTGGAATTTTCTTTTAGAGAAATATTGAAAATATAGTATATAGTACGTGGAATATAATGGGAAATATGATTTTTTTTTTTTTTGGAGATGGTTATTTATAGGTGCACATAGAGTTGTCATAAAGACTAATGTAACGGATTTAAAGTTGAAGAGGCAGAATATTAATTAAGAATTAATTTGGTAAATTAACTTTAATCATAATACTTAGTTTAAAGTTTATGATTTCAGTTAAAAATTATGTGTATGGAATGTGAAAAGTTGTAAACCTAATCAATATATTTTATTTTTATTTGGTTTGGTAGAAATATTACTAATTAATTAAGGGTGGATTACTTTGAAAAGGAATATATCGGCTTAATCATAACGAAAAAAGATTATGAATTTTTCATCACCAATAAAAGCTACCTAATCAAATACCTAATGTACTTATTTTAGACTGATGATGAATATCTCCGACTATATATTATATATAATTAGAATACACAGAACCTAATGTGATACTCCACCAATGGTAGATTTTAACCACAGGTTAGTATTTCGATAAAATTTTACTAGTAATTTTAACTTCATTTGTGTATATCTTGTTTTTATAAGAATATTATTAGTATAAAATAATAATTAAATTGTGAAACTAGTCGTTGTATTATCTTTAAATTCAGAATTATAAATCAAGAAACTATAAAAAGCATCTGCTTCATTTATTGAGATCTATTTCAATTGTGTTATTTGATTCTTTCACCTTTCCCTCACTATATTACTTCACTAATTGATCAACCATAAGTATTTAGCCTTGGATTGTGCTCTTTATAGCCAACCTGAGTTTTAGTGATTTGAATCAACAACATGCGCTATAGCAAAACTACATTTTAATGACAATAAATATGTATATTAATATAGAGAATATTAAAGTCTTTATCTGATTGTAATTAGATCCAGCTATAGGCTTCAGTAAACATTAATAAAGAGAGCTCAAAATATAATAATCGTTGCTAGTAATTGTCACTAAATAAATATATTCACTAAAGATCATTTGGTGTAATGATGTGTGTAGATTGGATTTCGATCAGCCCAAAAGAGTCAACATCATTAAGGCCCAATAAAGCATAAAACCAATACACCACAATGCCCTAGAAATTAATAGAATCAAATTGTAATAACTAAAAGGGAGTTAAGTTTGACTTTTGTTGATAAAGCACATGAAAGAAGGTGGATTTACAATTTCTTAACTCGAAGAACTATGTATAGTGATGATATACATAAGTTGGGATTAAATCTTAATCATTTTAGTGTATATGTTAAAGGTTCAACATTTATTTACTAGTCTTTAGTCATGCAGAGCCAATCGACAATGTATAGAACTTCTAGTGTTCGAGAAATTAGTTTAAATGAAGCGACATGAATATAGTCGATGAGGTCCTATAGTGTATCTGTGGACCCAAAGAAGAGCCTAAAACCCAAGTCATAGTATAGGAGCCCAGCCCACACCTTTGTCTGGTCATATAGAACCCACCTGACCTAGGTTATGTACAATTAGTACCAGAATGGAGCATGTGGGCTCAACTGCCCTACCTACTTCATAACTTAGCCCAACTAATAATCCTCTATAAAGTTGAATATCCCATTTTTGTGCCATACCAAACGACCCATTAATCATATATGGCTTAAAAAGAAGGTTAGATAGGTGGAAAAGAATTGTTGGTGGGGATAAAGGGGAAATAGAGGAGAAGACTATCACGTAGAAAATCAAATCCTCACCGACGAAATAAAAGTTTAAATAGTTAAATAAAAGAACGACTTAGTTTCCTCAGGACTTGCTCTAGTGTAATTTCTTCACTCTTTTTTTTTCCGCTAAAAAAGGATCCAAATATTTTGTAGAAAGAATTTAAGGAGATGAATTACATCCTAGCTAAATCTCGAAATATTAATTCCTAAATTGTCTTTGTAGGATTGAAAAGGCGTAAGATGGCGTGACTTCAAAAAACACAATATTATTGTTATCACAAAGCTACAAAAAAATCAAGATTTTTTTTCATAAAATAAAACAATTTCACTATGTTATTTGTCCCAAATAAATCTGATGTACTTGGGCTCGATTTCTACCATCAAGAAAAAACTTGCAATCATTTAGCATGTAAAAATGAATTACATCTTATAGAATAAGAATATATTAATCAAACTCGGATCCATAAGTCTATATGAGTAAGTAAAGCAACAAAATCGAGTAAAGCACATTAATTAGTTGTTACTTCTTTTTCTCCTTGTCCATATATAGAGACGTAATAGTGCCTACAATTTCATCACGAAACTAAAGACATTTTAGTTTGATACAATAGTTTAAGTACATAACAAATACTACCAACGGCATTTTTGTAAATCACCTATGTTTCTCTTATGCTAATGCTCAAGATTTATTATTGAGCAAAAAAACATAAATTCAATTAGTTTAGGACCTAATTGCGTGCCTTTGCTTTACTTTTCAAAAATAGCTTCAATATTTTTCTCGAAGTATCTAGTTACACGAATCTCAGATATATAGGGGTCAAATCAGGTGTAATTTTTTCATACCAAAGTGTGATTCACATGTATCTAAGATACATCAACTTTCTCTCTCTCGCTTTCTCTATGTATTTGTATTTTAAAATATATCTAGTATCAAGAATAATTGATATATGAAATCTGATACAAAATTATTGATTAGTAAGACAGTAAATAAAGTAGAATCATATTTATAACAAAAATATCGATGTAATTAGATAGTTTTTCCTTATTATTTAGCTGGTATGAAAAAGAAAAAGTTGGTTATGAGCCCATTTAAGCCCAGTGATAGTGTTACAAAGTTAAGTAGCCCATTAAGCACCTCAATAACAATGTTTTCTTTTGAGAGAAAAGAGGTTAATTAGGAATAGGAATAGAAACAAAAAAGTTATAGTTCCACTTGGAGAGGGAGTAGGATATATTTTGTATGGATGAGTATGTTTGTGCTAATTTAAAGGGAAAACAAAGAATGATGGAGTGAGCATAAACATGACATGTGATGTAAAAGACAGCATAAGAGTTGCTGGCATAAGAGGACACAACAACAGGTTCACAAATTACTCAACCATTTCTCTTGAATTTCGAGACATCCTGCTTATCAAAAAATAATTATATCCTTGACCAAATATATATATTAAAATATAGGATGTATATCTAATATTTTCTTTTTATATTTTCATGTTCGATTGTTATGAGTTTGTTAAGAAGGAAGAAAATGATATTAATAGTAAAAATATATAATAAAAAAAAGTAAGTTCTATAAATGATTTTGCGCAATCCTTCGCCTTCACTTTCTTATAGTATTTGTTGTCGTCAAAATACTCTTTAATTATTTTATAAGAAAATTATTTTTCACCCGTCAATCAAACCTTTGGAAAATAATCTTTTTGAATAATGTAATATTCATTCATTATAGTTATTTTTATGTATTTTTTTTAAAAAAATAATCAATACCATCATATATAACAAATATATCCATATTCTCTAGTGACATTGTTCAGCTTTTTCAGTAAAAATTATTTGGTTTATCTGCTTTGGTTGTATTAGAGGAATAAATGGAGACTAAAATCGAGAATTTTGGTAATGGAATATTACCTAATTAAACAGATGGCCAACCGTCTATATATTAAATATCAATTACATGTATGCCTTCTTATAATTGTTTCTTTGTTAAAGAAAGGATATATATCATATATAGAGGTAATTATGTAATTGTCACTAAATTTATAGTTTTAGTTGAAATATAAATGTTCTTAAGTCGAAATTAAATTCAATAATAATTAACTGATATTGATAAAAAAAGTTAACACTCTTTGTTAATTAATACATTTACTATCATTTAAATATATTTTTGATATATTGATAGTGCTATTAAAATGTATTCTTTCCCTTTGATATCTTTTTCTTCTTCTTTTCATTTAAAAAGGGGGATCTTTCTCAAGTTGAAGCAACAAAAAATAATCATTGGAACATAACATTTACCAAGAAAACTAAGTTACCTTGATTTCTACAAAATTTACCATGATATTTCTTAATGGATACTCATCATCATCACTAGTGTAGTTACCTTGATTTCTACAAAAAATTATAAAGTCTACATATACCAAATGTCATACTTGTAGCCCTATGAGTATTTTATTAGCCTTAGTCATGTTGTTGTTTAGGTTGATCTCAATCCTCTAAATACCAGTCTTTTGATGATTACCACATGCATTTATTTTATTTGTATTGGAACTTGTGGACACTCACTCATTAGTAAAGGTTCCATCTCATGTAAATAAAATTAATATATTCATTATTTACAGCACGTATTAATATCACCCGACCTTAGCTCAGTTGGTAGAGCGGAGGACTGTAGTGGGAAACTCCCTCAGATAATCCTTAGGTCACTGGTTCGAATCCGGTAGGTCGGATTTTTTTAATTAATTTTTCACGAACTTCCTTTATTCACTTTTACTTATTAATATTATATTTTGCACGTTACTTATAAGACAATAATAGAATAAAAGTGAACGGAGAAAGTAGAACTAATCCATAAATGTCTCAACATCAAGAGATTAACTTTTTAGGCAAAACAATTTTGCTTCTTACAACATGAACATAAATCCTAGCATATCACCAAAAGCTTAGATATACTAGTGAAAAATTATGTTATCATAATTTATTAATTTGGTGTAACATTACTAATTGTGGGACTATTAGTATTTTTTTAGGTGGCCAACCAAATATCTTACATCAACTTTTAGATTTTATAATTAATAATAATTATACTAATACAATGAATCAAAGGACTTTTGATTTATAATCAGATGACAGATGGAAATGAAGAAATTGTGGAAAGTTATAAAGTTTGATGAGAAAAAGTAATAAATGAGCTGGGTTTTTTTACTAGTAATATTGTAGTACCCCTTTGCCTCGAAGGTGACCCTATGCCAACTGTCGGTGGCACATAGTATAATACAAATACATTAAATTACAATTATATATTATATATATAAAAAAAAATATGCACATTGTCCACACATGACTCACCTGGAGTGTCGGCAGATTCCTACTGATAGTAAACGATATATCTCCTCTGTTTTAATTTGTTTTTATTATTTTGATTATACAAAGCTTAAAAGTGAGAGATATTTTTTTAATTGAATAAATTAAAACGAAGAAGAATTAAATAAAAAAAACAAATAAATTAAAACGAAAGATTCACAATCTTGTTTTCCATATTTTTCATTTCTAACATTAGAAACTATCATCATCAAATAAGACAATTTGTCATTACTTTGAATGAGATTTTCTAAATTTCTCTCCACACATAAGATTTTCGTACAAAAACAAGAGGCCAAGAACAGAATATAAAAGTCTCTGTAGAGGATAAAGAAAAAAAAAAGAAAGATAAGAAAATGACTTGGAAATTAAATTAATGTCTTGTATCATTCGTTGGTGGTCAACTTGATGAAATAACATTGTCTGCATCAACGTATTTTTTGTTTAAGTTATTTTGTAGCCAGAAATTACTAATTGTATTGATCAGAATTTGAACTTGGTATTAAAAAATAAACTTTTTTTATCAAGAAGTTTTTATGTTTATAGAGCTTTAACTTATATATATATGCAACTTTAATTTATTGGCTGGAAAAATCTTAATTATTCCGTTACAACTAATTTACGTTAGTGCATGCACTAATTTAGTACATGCATGAAACATGTCCCAGAAGATCATCGTATGTATGCTCGATTTTGATTGCCAGTGATATAATAGACAGAAGTATATTATGGCAGGATCAGTCACTCAATAGCCTAGGGCGGGGGGCAAGCTCCAGGGTCGAGGGAAGAAATAGGCGTGGGGAAGAGTCTATAACAAAATTAATTAAATAGACAGAGAAGTCCTATCGATTCAAGCAAGTTCGACTAGTTTACGCTCTTGAGACTTCTAAAAGCGGCACCTATATTCAAGATATTTGCTTTATTGATTCATTTTAACAAATCAAACGTGCTTTCATTAATTTTATTTTATTTTTTGATAATATCCTTAATAATAAATTATTACATAAAACAGAAGTCAAATTTAGAGTTCAAAACATCATTGATAAGATTAATTTAATAAAGTGCATCCTTACAAAAGCTTTATGAAAAATGTTATTAAGTTAAATATGAATCGAATAAGATAAAACAAAGAGAGTATGAAAAAAATTTCGGCTTATTATTTTTTAAATAAATAATGTGTATATGGAGTGCCTATTCGTACAAAGAAAAATATGATTAGGTATCTGAAAACATCTCACTTTGATATACGTTTTTCTTGTTTTATTAAAGTTGTTCCATCTTCAGCTAGCTTTCTGCTCTTTTATTATTTACGGACTCTTAAATAAATGTACCAATTGATGGTGTAACAAACTTCTTACTTGAAAAACCAGTGAACTTAATATATTATAAAAATTGATTATGTCATCTACATTTTTTTAGAATTAATATAATTGATTTGTTATTTGTACCTTTCATGAAAACCAAGAGTAGTTGTGAAGTGATCAGTGGCCAAAAAAAATAATTGATTCATGCTAATTAAATTTCAAAAATAAATAATGAAATCTGGCCCTCACAAAGATTTATCATTTATGTTAAGATCGTTTAATTCTTGGACGGTGTATTTAATGAAATTTAATTTAATACCTTTGAGAAATAGTAATTTCCCTTGCAAGTATTGAAATTAAAAAGCAACATTTAATTACAGTTTTTTTTTAATATTCTTTGGTCGTTTAGTTAATTTGCTTATTAATTACTCTGGTTGAAGGACATTATAGTAACTTCAGGCCAACTAACTTGTTCTTCTCTCTTGAATGCGTTTGTACCATGCACTTGCTTTTTCTTTTAAATAATATTTATACGTGTAATTGTAATTAGTTGTTACATATGAAAATATTAATTATAGAATTAACGTCTTTTAATTTGCAATCAAAAATTTATGTTCAAGTTTCTATTATTATGGATTATAAGAATTATATCAAGTTATTTGAAAAGCTTTGAGAATAAATTTATTTTTAAGACATCTGTGTAGTGAATAATTTTCATGAAATTAGAATAACTAAAAGTTGAAAATGCCGGCACTTTAGATTTTTTATTTTCCCCAAGAGAATCTTTTAAAAAATTGAAAAAGCTTCTCTGTTAGTGTTTGTTTTAAAAATATGTTGTTGATTACTTCAGTTAAAGAAAATCTAATCGATGATTTATTATTTTGTATATGCTCTATCAAATGTTATTTATTCCATAATATTTAGATAACTAGAGTAAAGAAGATATTATTTTTAAAAAAAATATATAAACACTAAGTAAAAATGATTGAACATAACGTGATGCAACGAGATATATAAAAATCTAACAATATCTTATCGTAATAATAATTATTTAAAGAATTAATTCATAGAATAAAAACGAAATAATTTTTAACGTATCTACGTTGCTATCTTCTCTATTTTTTCAAATTTCTCAAAATTGTATAAGTAGCCGCCAATATTTTCCCGCTAT